CAAGCTCGGTGCAGAACTCACTGGATCCCCTCGGTCCAAGGAGAAGCAGAAGTTGACCTCTAAAGTCTTGAACCTCTCAGGTCAAGCTCTGCAGCCAAAAGATGCCTTGGCGTTGGCCGCCTCGTTGGCGGATGATAGAAACTTTGTCCGAGTCATTCTTGGCGATGCTTTCTTAGGGGATGAAGGTTGGTTAAACTGTCGGTGGTCGACATGCATCTTGCAATGTAGTGTGTACAAAGGATGTCTAATTCACTGACCTGTATTCCTCTGGATCTTCGTACACGTCGGAGCAGGATGCATTGCTATTGCAAGCGCCTTGAAGGCGAATACTACCATACAGCATCTTGATCTTCGCGGAAACAATATCCGTGCTGATGGGGCGACAGCGCTGGCTCAAATGTTGAAGATCAATACCACCTTGAAGAGGTTGGTCTCGCTTCGTTCACCTACTTTTCACGACATGAGGTTATCGCCAACCCTGTTTCCTGTGTTTCGTGGAAATCGCATAATAATTATCCTGAATTCATCTCGTCCATGTTGTTCGGCGGGCTCAAAAAGTTTATCGCTCGAATGGAACTGCATTGGGATCTGGGAAACGGGTGTCTCGTCGCTTTCGGACGCCCTCGCCATCAATCAGTCATTGGAGGAACTCGACCTAAGAAACAATAAGATCAGTCCTCAAGGAACGCAGGCCCTGGCAAAAGGTCTGAAGCACAACACGGTGCTGAAACGAATAGGTCAAGTTCAAGGATCCGAGAATTCTCTATTCTGTTTTCTACGCGGACATCCGGCTTCAATCGAATAACACTTGTTTACTTGCGACTGGCGCTATATAGATCTGCGTTGGAATAACTCTGGGCTCATAGGTGGACGTGCCCTTGTTGACCTGCTTAAGTGGAACATGGTCATCACTGCTGTTGAGATTGCAGGAAACGACGTCCCAGAAGATCTGGCCGGAGCGCTAGGTTCGTGAGACTTCTTCGAGTTCCCAGCCTTCACAATGCTTCATAGGGATTCCGTCCAATATAACTAAAGAACCTTCGAACCACAACCCAATGACGAAAAGCCGTGGCTTTGGAACGCAATCAAGAAAGACACAGAAACGAAATCAACGCGCGATTACAATCCGATCACTTGTCGTCTACCATACAAGCCATCAATGCGCAGCATCAGGAAATTATCACTGAGCTTGCTACCAAGGCCATGGTTTCTGACAATCAAGCTCAAACATTATCCCAAAAGTTGTCCGCCATGTCCAAGGAAATCAACGAGAGCCATGAGGCCCAGAGACTTTTGGAGGCTAAGGTGGAGAGACTTACAAAGGAAAAAGAGGAGTTGGAGACAGCCTTGTTGGACGAAAGACGAGAACATCAGCGGAGAGTGCTTGATCTTCAAAAAGACTTGAATGCAGAAAAAGAGGTACGTAACGTATTTCATTATGTACCACGTCTTTGGAGCTTTTGGTAACAAGTGCTGCTCATCAGAAACGTGCTCGGGCAAACGAGGCCTTCCAAGGCAAAGAAGCGGAGCTTACGAAACAGGCTCTACAGATGGAAGCATCCCTCCGCGAAATTGAGTTGAAGGCGGAGGTTTTGAAGCGAGATAAAGTTGCACTGCTCGAGGAAGTTGATCGGGGCAAGGAACGGTACAAAGCTCTCAATCAACAATGGGATGGTGTGTATCCGACGCGACGTCAATATACATGCATTCTTTTACTGATCGAGTTTTTGTATTTACATTGCGATTTTTTTTACTCAGAGAAAGTCAAAATCATGGAAGAAGCCTGGCAGAAGAAAATTGACAAAATGGAAAAGGCGAAAGAAAATGAGCTGGATGGGAAACAGAGGAAGTGGGAAGAACGATTGCGCAACCTGGAAAACGAGAGGGAAAAGGCAGCCCAGGTAACTTTGTTTTTCACCGATCTCGGAGTTCGTTGCGGTTTGAAGACCTACTTGGTAGCATAGCACTGATTTAAAAACAATCTTGACAGGACTGGAATAAAGAGAAGGAAAAATTCCTGGCATCGAAGATTTCACAGGAAGAAGCGTTTGCAAAAACGAGGGCTCAATGGAAGAAAGACGAGGTTAGTGATTCCAATTTCCGAGTCTGTGGGTATGATTCAACCATTTGTTGTCATTTTCAATCGCCACTCAATATATCATTGCGTTGTCCAGGAAAATGCACGTCGCGATTATGACATGCAATTGGAGCATTTCCGAAACCAAATCAACACAATGCAGCAACAGCTTACCACTCAGGCGCAACAACACACCAAAGAGCTTTTGAGCAGGGAGGCCGATCTGTTGAAGCATACTCAAGATCAACGCAACCAATTGATGGCGGACATCTCAGATATGAAAGTGAAAGTGACTGGCTTGACCCAGGAAAACGCCAATTTGAAATCCCAACTCGACTCTGCCAAAAGACACGAAAGGGAACTCGACGGACAATTGGAACGCACGAACCAGGAGCTCAAGGCTGCCGCCGATGATCTCATTACGCAAAAAGCTGAGTCGCGAAAGGAAGCGGAACGTTTGCAGAGCCAACTGAAGCAGCAAGAAGCGACCGTTGCGAAGTTGAGGGATGAGATAAAGCGCAGAGAGGCTGACATGCAGGAGCGGGACGCCGAGAACGTCGTTCGTATGAAAGAACTTCAGATTTCCATCAACTCGTTGTTGGAGCAGAGGGCCCGGAGATAAAGAAAGGTTCTCCCACAATTTTCAAAGATCAGTGTCAAAGTGTGGCAGCAAAGTGGGTGCTGCGATTTTCGTATTTGAATTCCATATCAGTAGAGCATGAAAAAAAACCTCTTCCACATTCGATGTGTTGATTGAGGTTTGAGAATCGGAATAATGAATGCCGGAATGAAGGACTGCTACATCCTACATGTCACCTTCCTTTCCGTATTCGGTTTTCAGATGCAGCAGCCGCACACATGCCTTCAGCGACTTTCCAACAAAACTTGATGTTCCAAACGTCATCCAGACTCAAACTCCAATGTAGTGACCGACAGCGTGCTTTGTCTTCTCCTTTTCTGGTTGGAAGTCGAAGAGACAGTCACCGCTACATTGACAGACACACTAGTAGGCGCCATTCCATGTTGCTTGTTAACCTCCATCATCCGAACTTAGTCAAAAGAAGTGCGGGGCTCTGAAATCCTAAACAAACTCTTTCACAATTCGTTTGGAAACGCGATTAAAGGCGATTCTCCTGTGGCCTCCTCGGAACTTCTTGGTTTCTGCACACAACAGTCTTTTTTACCGCGGAGTTTGATCAGGGAATAGTGGAGCTTTGCAGTTATGAACCCGGGACTTGAAACTTCGATAGTCTGTACCCAGACTGTGTAGCCGGACTGCCCAGTGGCAACAATCCCGCTTCACAGGTCCGAACTTCTTCGTTATCCGCATAACAAGGGCCTACATGTATGATTCTTGAGACGCGGCGGTTGATTCACAATCCAATAACCGGGAACATCCACTTCGAACCCCTCAAATGATTCAGATAGAACATGAGTTCCAACAGGCACCACAGAGATGGTCCCAATCAGAAATGAGTATACGTTTGAGGTTATGAACCGCACGTCCGCCAAACTTCAACATTGGAATCAATCAAGCTTCCACTTGACATTTCACCTCTTCACTTTTACGTTGGTGTCCACAATCCTTGCCTGGTGGGAGCGAACTTCTCCGCGTTTTTCGTCTGTTCCCGCACCTTAAGGCATCTGGGGTATGTGGGGCGAGTCCGGGCGACCCAACAATTGACACGTTGAATCCCACATCCGTGCCTCTTCTTTGATATCCTTGTCAATACGTTCTCTCACGAACCTGGGTCGCAATTTCGCATAGTGGGACGGGGCGAAACCGTGGATTCACATATCCCCACCAACTACTCCACAAATATGGTATAAAATCACACTGCTTTTGCGTTCTTTTTCAGCAGACACTCACATCCATCACATCTCCTCGAAAGATACTCATCAACTCTTCAGTCGAACTTCTCTTGCCATCAATCATGCGCACCGCTCTTGTCCTCGCCATCGCCCCTCTTGCCGTGGCTCTCCTCGGCTCCCAGCCCAGCACTGCGGAGCCTTTGCCCGGCTACTTTGATGGCAAGAAGTACGACGGCTACTACAACAAATACAGCTTCGAGCAAACCTGTAAGTGCCAAGATATACGCCTTAAAGTTTCTTGACCTGGCTATGGTTTAGATTCTTTTCACCTCGTGCTGATGGATACCTGTTTCCTGGATTCTTCGCACTCATTTCATTAAAACAGATGAGCAATGCTTGAAGATTTGCCACGCCAACAAGGATAAGAAGTACCAGAAACGTTGCTTCTACCAGTGCGAAGCCCTCAAGAAGGCCGCTCACCGCAACGAGTACTGGGATGGCAAGTATGGCCACTACGACGGCAAATACTACGACGGCAAGTACGATGGCAAATACTACGACAACAAGTACGACGGGAAATACCACGACGGAAAGTACGACAACAAGAACTACGGAAAATACTAAAAGGAGTTGTTGGCTGCAGGCGGTCAAACGCATAGTCACAGATTTAGACAATTAGTCTCAGCGAAAATGCATTGATCACTCAGGAATACACCAATACTTTTCCAATATTTCTCCTTCAATCTTGCCTTGAAAACTCGGAAACCTCAGTTATAAGTCGATGAATACATATGGCAGTCAGATCATTTGAAGATCCACCAAATCCAAGAAGAAGAGGTGATGAATCTATTCGCACATAAGCGCGCGCACAAAGAGACGATCTCGATGGGGAACATTTTCTGCACATTGGGCTTGGCATGTTCCCCACACACTGCAAGATTCATCGAACCCACTTTTCTTTCCCGAATCTCTCAGACTCAGATCTTGAATTTCTCCCAGTCGAATTCCGAGAGAAGTCATGCTAAATCTAGATGAAGCATGTCATGATTCTTCGCTTTGGTTTCTTCTTATTACAAACTGTTGAAGTATGGGCAGTGTACACCAGTAGATTCCGGCCTTAGCTCAGTTCAAGTTGGTAGTAGCGGCAGACTGTAACGGCGCCTTCGCTGAGATTGCGGGCGTCACAGACATCTGTAGGTCCCCGGCTCAACTCCGGGAGGCCGGAGGAGGGCGCGTAAATGCTGCATGATGTTGCACTCCCACAAGACGCAACCACCTGGGTGTGCGAAACTTTTTCTTCCCACGCTGACTGGCATTTTCTGCAGGCTGAACTAGACACGTTTCCCACTGGGAAACAAACCCGTTTTCCTTTGCCAAACACGTCTCGATTTCGATTCTTCATTTTTGGGCTTCCTCTCTCTGTCTCTGGATTTGAGCGATAGCTATGCACCAGATGTTCAACCGGCCTTAACTCGGTTGGTAGCAGCGGCAGACTGTAGTGGCGCCTGAATCCAGCAGGATCGCCGGCATCAGCTGGCATCTGTTGGTCCCCGGTTCAAATCCGGGAGGCCGGAATATAACTTTCATTCACGATGTACCGATCCCTCCACAGTTGATTGTGTGTGCCACACCCCAGGGTTGTAATTTTAGTCGACAGAATCACACTGGTGTTTTTCGATTTCGACTTGCTTTCCACCAATACCAATCCAAGTCAGTTCAGTTTTGGAGGTAATGAGCCGCGTGTCATCGAGACGCAATTTCGAATCAATGCGGAGGAGCTTTCATGAACATAGTTGCTTTAGTAACATCAAGCTCCAGACAACTTGTTTCCTCTCTTCTTTTTCTTTCTCCTTCGCACTCTAATCTCGAAAACGTCTTTGTTTTCTCAATACATCACCAGTCTATTTTCATCGTGGCGTTTGATCCATACATATCTGGATGCGCACATTTATGTCCAGATGGTTTAATGTGATGATGAAATTTCTACAGTATTGCTGTCTACGAAATTGCGTGAAAAAGTACAAGTGAAATCTGACTTTATATGTACGTGCGTGCATCTATTTCATCTCAGCTTTCAACCAAAATGACCAGAAGGCAACCTTCTCTGCGCTTGTATCAACTGTCACAAAGTAATGAAGACAAAATCATCAGTATGGTTCGAGAAATCTAGGAGCAACAGACAAGAAAGTAGCAAGACAGAACTCACCTGTCCTTTCTAGATTGAAAATATTGTGGCCGCTTCTGCTTCTGATTCTTAAAAGCACCGGGTTACCCCCATCCTGCGGTCCACCAAGTTCTGTCGAAACTCGCTGTAACGCAGCGGTGAGCTTGAAGCTGTGGACAGGAGAGACTCTTGTATCGTGAGTGCCCGTAGTAATTAGCATTGGAGGGTAGCGTTTTCTCTCGACATTATGGTAGGGAGACCACTTTAGAGACGATAAGACTTCGGTAGCGTTGTCTGGACGGCCGTAATCGCTTTGCCTGTGGTGGCGTAGTGAGGGCGGGGATATGATCAATGAGCTTCGGATACGCACTGGAAATGGAAAAGCTCTACTCCATCCCCATAGCGCATGAGGAAAGAAGCACATACCATCCAGCCCCAAGTGTGAAATTCGTATACCGAGCGATATCCATCACACCATAGTCTGGAAGACTCACTCCGAAAATTTCGGGTGCTTGAAGTGCTACCGCCGCCGCCAAAAGCCCTCCATTCGAACCTCCGTTAATTGAGACCCTATTGCAATTTCGGTTACGTCACTGAAAGAGTATACAATAAACAAGGACATGAAGCTCGAATGATACTTACAATCCCTCTTGGGTCCAACCTTCCTTGATCAAGTGCTTCGCAGCCCATATGGTATCGTCAAAGCAGTTCTGTTTTCGCAAGTTCCTCCCATCAACCCACCACTTCATACCGTACTCTTTTCCCCCACGAATATGAACAAGCCCGTAGACAGCGTCGAAATGTATACTCAACGCCAAAGCGAAGCTGCTGAAACTCGGAAGGCGAGTTATCCCAAACCCTCCGTATCCAGTCAGCCAAACGGGCACATTTTTCGGCTCTGTACGGCTGGGGACGAACTGCCTGGGTGCGACAATTGTCATCGGAACGACCGTGATATTGTCTTTGGATACGTACTTGACGAGCTCAGTTCTGACCAAGTCGGGAACATTGTTGATGGGGAGTTTCATGGTTCGCCAGGTGAGAAGTTGGTTGCTGGTTGCGTTGTAGATGTAGATTGCTCCTGGGTCAACCGGTGAACTCCACCGGAAAGCAACGATGTTCAAATCGGGCATTGGTTGGACGTCTGTGCAGGCGCCCCCTCGCAGATCTTCGAATTCTTGGATGATGGTGTTTTCCGTGTCGTTTGCATTGACCCGAATGACGTGCTTACAACACCAAATTAAACAGGGGTTAGTCAGGACATACGAAGTATCAAATACGGACGAAATCGCGTGGAATAAATGCGCCAAGGACTACTTACTCTGGCATCATCCAAGTACAACGACAAAAACACTCCATCTGCGACAGGATACGCTTTGTCCAATATAAGAGTGCTTTCCGGAATCACAGTGACTGCGTCCTATCACAGAAACACACCCGTTGAAAAGTCTGAGCAAAGCGATCATATTCAGATGTCAGCAATCATACGAATAGCTTACCACAACACCATCTTCGTCTTGCTGGGAGGGCTTAACACCGATCACCCTGTAGTTAGATGCGCCGGCGGCAGTTTGATAGTAGAAGACACCGCCAGGTCCCTGACCGATGAAGGATGTGTCGAAGGGGTCATCCTCAGCTGCGAATGGTGGGATTTCAGGCATACCGTCCATGTCGTCCAAAAGCTGTTGATATGGTAGGAAGCCTGGAAAACCCGATGGGGTGAAAAAAACAGAGAAAATATGAGATGAATGCCGGATGCAAAACTTGGAGAGAAGACGGGAGAGAAGGGAAATATAGCTTGAAATCTTACGAGACTTGGTTTTCCGCGAAGGCAGCTTGATCAACAGAGTCTGCGATTCGTCTCGACGATCATCAGGACCAGCCAAAGTTCCGTCAAGAAATATTTTGGCAAATCGCGGTTCCGAAGAGGCGGGCCCCGCTACGTCGGGTTCCCCTTTGTCAAGGACCGTACTGTTGCAAAGGGGCTCGATGGTTTCTCCCTCATCATCATCACAGCGAACGTCTTCGCTTTGAGAATCCCCAAAACGATGGAAGAAACGTTTGATGGTGCTTGCGATAAGGTCGTTGTTGCGACCAGCTTCATCCCATGTCAGGTTTTGTGGCGCGTCGAAGCGCTGTCAATGAAGACAATCCCAAGTTAGGACCAAATTCAGGGTTTGTCCGTTCCTGACCAAAGAACACATCGTGATACGTGGTATTCGGAAATCTTACGTAGTATACGAAACCAGATCCATCCTTCGCCCATTCAATATCCGAGGATCGACGTAGAGCATAGCGAAGCTCATCTGGCAAACGTTCCCCGGTGGTGACATTGAGGACGCCGATCCATCCGTAGTCACTTCCATCCAAAAGTCATTTTCATGATATGAAAGTGAGACAGGGAAAGCCACGAGAAGAGCGATGAAAAGGAATGAAAAGGCGAATGTCGAGGGCATAAATAATACTCACGTCTCTGTCTTGGTCATGATAAACGCGAAGTATTTGTTATCGGGCGAGAAATTATACCCATCAGTAACATCAATCTGATCCAAATTCTCGGGAAGCTTTACGGGGTCCAGGAAAAGTTGGGCATTTGCATCGGAATCGAAGAGATTTCGCGTTCGGTAAATGGAGCTGCGAATGTATTTTTGTTGAGTAAGGTCTGCAGTTCAGGCATGTCGAGGGAAAACATTGACCAAACATACCTGTGGTTGTTAAGTCCGCCCAAATTGGCGAAGTAGTAATAGTAATCTCCCCGCTTGAACGGTGATCCCCATCTATCGTACGCGAGCAAATCTGTGTATCTATTGCGGGGGGAAATGGGAGAAATGATGGGCATCTTCAACTCGTGCATTTCTCAACCACCACCACATGCACACCTTTTTCTAAATTCCCCAAAGTTGGGAATTTGTTGCAGATACGTTTCCGTCAACTCATTTTGGTTCCTCATGAAATCCAGAGTGTCCGCGCTGAAGGGATCTTCAAGATATCGATATGGATCGGCGACTATCTTCCCAAAGTAGTCGTCACTGACATTGTCGCGGCGAACTTCCGGGTAAAGGATCTCAGGAGGACTTTGGGATCGAGGTTGAGGAAATGAAAGAGCAACCTGGAGAGCTGCGATGGCGGGGTTTGAAAGGGTGATAAATCAACTCCGATTTTCAAACAAAAATGTTGACCAAGAACGATGAAATGCATACATGCGACGACGAGCGCCAGGCCTGCCAGTAAGTTGTTCCTGAACATGGGTATTCGTATGCTGCGCTCCGCGATTCACCCAAAGCGCGGGGAGTTATCTAAACCAGCATTTATGACATCGACCCCGCCGCGGTGGGATGAGAAAAAGGCATTGCTTCGCTTCGCGCACAATCGGAAGTTCAAATAAAAAATTTGCCTGTTGTGGGTGTTCTAGGGAAAAAATGTGTGCGCGCTCCATGCAAGCTCCCCCGTCTCCGCCCACAGCGCTTTACAGCGGGAAATCAACGGGTCAAAGCACCACATGGGAGACTGCTGGCAGTTTGGACCCTTCCATCCAGGTAACTCCAGGATAACTCCGACCGACTCCTGCACTGAATCTACGAGGCCGCAATGTGTTTGCCATTTCATACAAAAACATCCAAACTCCAAAAAGATCCGCTCCTACTTTTTGCCGCTATATTTCCATTGCGCTAGCTTATCCACAAACTGGGGAAAGAAATGATTTACAAGTACGAGGTACCAGTACCATGAGGGAATGTATAGTTCACGTTGACGGCGATCTGCGGCGCTGATGATTGCGGCAGCGCACTTAAGAGGCGATAGCTTTTTGAGAGATGAAGCAGTAGCTGGAGGTGCTGGCTTTCCTGAAGCATCTGAACTTGGTCGTTCGAGGTCGACGGCTGAAGCCCTGAGATCGGTGTCGACTGTTGCGGGCATAATGACGCAAACACCCACGCCTTTGGATTCGAGTTCGACACGAAGGGAGTTGAAGAACCCGTTCAATGCAAACTTGGTGCTTGCATATAGCGAACGCTACAGGTATGAAAAATTCGGAACGGACGGACGAAAGAGCGAAAGGAAGAATATTAAGACAGGACAAAAAGGAACGAAGGTCTCTCTTTAAAAACAAGTCCGCAGGAGTTGACGCTCGTAGGGATGAAAACTTACAGTCGGAGCACCGATCACACCGGCAACGGAAGAAACTACCACCACTTGACCTTTAGCCAGCACAAGTGCATTCAAAAAATGCTTCACGCACAGGATGGGCGATAGGACGTTCACCCTGAAAATGTCTTCAACAATGCGAGTTGATACGTCTGGCTGATGATCTCCACCATGAGGCGCTTTCGAGGTTTGCTGAGAGATAGCAGGACCGCCAGAACTACGACTGCGGTCTAGGTTGAGAATATCTGCGAAGGGAAGGACGTTGAT